GTTGGGCTGACACCACATGGCCCAAATGCTCCAAAACAAAATATATCATTGGACTCTCCCACATGGCCCATGGCACTTACTTAAAGAAAGATACTCTTGCCAACCAGGACATTCCAAGAGTTTAGAGATTAACTTCCAGGAATCTGCAGCAAAAGTCAGACCTCTCTTTAGGTAAGATTAATTCTTTACTACACAGATGTAAAATATAAAAGTGAATTTAAGACTGAGTACAGTGCAAGCCTGTAATATCAGGTACTCAGGAGGCAGAGATAGGAGGATTGTGGCTTGAGGCCAGCTAGACAAAGTTAGTAAGACCTTATTTCAAAACAAACTAAAACAATTGAAAACAAACAAATAAACAAAAGGACTGGCTAATGGCTCAAATGGTAGAGCATTAGCCTAAAAACCACAAATTCCATCCCTAGTACCACAAAAAAAAAAAAGTGAATTTTGAAGTCTATCGTTCAGGGAAGCAGTTTGACAAAGGATGCTTGTTTGGAAGTTAGTAATGTGTAGAAGGTACACAGCTGACCTTTGTATATGTGGGTCTATGGCTCCATAGAGGCTGAACTGAGGAAAAGTTGCATGTGTTCAGGATGCATAGAGTTCAGTACTGTGATGTGGATATTTGATTCTTTTTTCCCATCATGGTACCCAGTTTCCATTAAAGACATGCCTCCTTTCAACAGATCTCAAATTTTCACTTTATTACTCCAATTATGTACATTGACTTTTGCCTTGCTTTTTGGGTACCGTTTGTTTTTCCTTTTTTTTTTTTTTTTGGTGGTACTTGGGTTTGAACTCAGGGTCTCACCCTTGTTAGGCAGGCACTCGACCACTTGAGCCATGGCCCCAGCCCCTATCACTTGCTTTTTGAGAGGCAGATTTTCAAAAAATTCAGGGCAGGGAAACATTCAGCAGATCACAAAATTTAAACACAACTGACAAGAATGCAGGACTTATTGAGAACTTCTCCACATCAACTCAGCTGTATAAGGTATGCAGAAATGTAAATTTTTTGTTTTTGAAATTCCTTTTGATTTTTAAATTATTTTTGGTGGTGCCTAGTCAAAACCAAATCTGCAAATAAGACTGGCTTACTGTATTAGCTAGGGTCTTATTTTCTATGTTCTGTGTACTGAACATAACCTCTCTCCAAGGAAAAGAAAGCTGATAAATAGTTTAGGACAGACTATCTTTCAATGTTAACCCACCACTCCTGTTAAAACCAATTCAAAATAACTTATTATAATTAGCTTCCTTCTTAATTTTTATAGCATAACCATACATAACAAGGTCCGTGACCAGTATACATACACTATTTAGTGTGCTATAAGACACTCTGTAGCCAAATAAAATATTCTAGCAAAAATAACCCGTTCAAATACCATAATTTGGCCACTCAGTGAATTATCAAAATTTTCTTTGCTGAAAAAAAAGAGTGATGATGAACATAGAATTTAGATAAGTCATTTTTTGTATTGCTTATTATGTAATGCATTTGGGTGGGAGTCTGAGCTTGCACAAAGACCATATTAACCAAAATGACAAATTGGCCTCGTGACTAAGCCAGGTGGTAAAGCTCTAGTTTGCGTGGCTGTTGAAAAGGATACCTGAGTATGTGAGGGAGCTTGGGACTTCCTTCCTGGGGCTAAGGGAAGCTGGGCCTGCTGAAGAGGTGGTGTGATTGATCTCTTTAGAAGAGAGTGCCAGCTGGAGTGTGCGTAAATGGCTCCTTCTGGATTCTCCTTAAAAACTAAATTGATGGCAACTTCTGAAAAGAGCAACTCAGACCTCTGTCCCTGCATGATAAAGATAAACGTTGATTTTGTGGAAGTACAAAAAATCAACAATATTGTAGTCTCAGCAAAAGAATTAGAGGTAATAGAATGTTATTCACCTACCAAAATCAGCAGATAATTGGAATGCGGCGCCCTTTTTAGTTAGCATGTTTTTAGGAACCCATCTGTGCAAATTGTTGCTTTTTTATTATCATTACATAAACTAATTACATTAGGGAAAAGGGGGGCATTTTAATTAAAAGACCGTTTTAAATACTTATAATTCTACTTTGTCATTAAGTAGCTTAACCGAGTGCCAAATTTGTTAGAGTAAACAATATTTCTAAAAAGCCTTGTTTGCAAATTATTCGTATTAATCACTTCTTCAGATATGTCATTTTATTTCTCCATTTTAACTAAACAAATACAGGGCAAGACTACACATAAGCCATTTCAATTATTTTAGGGACTAATTTTTTCCTAAAAAAGAAAGAAAACCATCTATTTTTACAAAATATGCATATTTACTTGTATGTAATAGATTTGATTAGGATAATCTTTTCAGAAAAATGGCATTTTTAAAACATGATACCACACCAAGGGAAGACATTGGAGGAGGCAGAAAGATGACTTAAAATCTATAGAGGAAATCTATAGCTAATATTATAATTATCAGACATTGCTGCCACTTACACCGTTTCCGAATTTAATCTGCATTAGCTTTCAAACTGCTCTCTAGATTTCTTCTCTATGATTGAAATGCTGAATCACTTTTATTAAAAAATTTAACATGAAAACCATTACAGAAACTATTTCTGTATAAGAAAATTCCACAGTCAAACTATCTCTCTTGCTGTGAAAGACTGGATAAATACTATTGTTATGATCATTATAATTATTCACAACACAGCATCTTGCATAGAAGACATGTACAAAATGGATGTTGAAGGAATGAATGAAGACAACATTTCACTTAAATTCTCAAGAAGGTGATGGCAGCTCCTACCATCAGCAGTGACTTTTTTTTTTTTCACTCATCAATATCATTCCCCAGGAAAGCTGGCAAACCCAAATCTGTTCCATTAATGCCAGCAGGGATGTATCTGTGTGAAGAGAATAGGTAAACATTATTGTACCTGATGGCTCAATGAACTATCCACATGAACTCTTAAGAGACTTGAAAAATACTTGGCAGTGTTTATACCTAGGATGAACTCTACAAATACTGTTTGATGATGCGATACTGCAGAAAAGGTCCACTTCTATGTCATTGAGCTTTTTCAAACCAAAACTGTTGAGCTAATCTGTGACTACATAACTCCTTTTTCTTGGTAGTATTTTAATCTCTTAAAGTCTCTCTTAAATTTTTTGTAGGTTTTCTGTCTAAATCAGTGTCTAAATATCTTCTGAGAACAGATTTAGCAACCAGCATATTTTTTTCAAAATAAGAGAGCATTTATATGTTTGCTAATATAACAATAATGACAACTGAAGATCTATAATATGCCAGCTTCTTTTTTTTGCCATTTAATATGTTAATTCATAGAGAGTTTTATTCTTTTGGAAAAAAAGAAGAAATAAGAGCCTTGCACAAAACTCCACAGACTGTAGATTATTGAACTGAGATTCAAACCCAACACCAAAACTTACTCTCCCAAATTTGCATTTTGACTCTCACACAATCTTGTGAGGTAAGTACACAAAACATAGCTTTGGTATTTGATCGGTCTGAATTTACATATATAATTTTATGAGAATAATAACAATTTATTATAGGAAAAATTTAGGGATAATCCAAACCAGCAATTCTTAGTCATTGCTACTTTACATTCCTAATAATTATTTGAATCCCTAAAATTGTTTGAAATATGTGTGATATTTATTGATGCCATATAATAATAAAAATTAGGGCATTTGAAAATATTTATATTTCACTTAAAATTGTTAAAATTAGATTTTATTCTCAAGATCTAATGTCATTTTAACATACAATAGATTTCTAATCCTAAAATGGAATACTTTCATTCTCATTTGCAAATGGAGTTGAACAACATGTATACATACCTATACAGAGAGAGAGAGAGAGAGACAGAGAGTTCTAGATTAGTTATATACAAATATTTAGTTTTACTATTATTATGTTAATTTTGATTAAAGTAGTTTTTCAGGGAAGGTATAAACAGAGAGATATAAATGCACAGGTGAATATTTTTAAAGAGAGATAAGCAAGAACAAAGTGAAGGAAAAAAAGGAAAACGCTTTACTTGGTCTAAGCTATAATGAACTGAATTATTCTTTTTTTCTTTGTACACTCTTTTATATAGTGTAAAAGAGTTCTTAAAGGGGTTTCATTACTTGAAAATTATATAAAAGAATAATATCAATGATTTGTCAGTTATCTTAACATGCATCAATTCTGTAACCTATTAAAATGTACCAATTAATTTGATATACTTTGACTCACATGTAATCAGGAGACACTTCTTTAGGAGAATGCTTGCTTTACTAATGTCTGTAGTGATATGTATTTATATGTTTACATTACTTATAAGGCAATGTTATACCCAGAAAATAATACAAAAATGTTAATTATATTTCGTAAAGGAATTAAATATGGTTCAGGCTATTTCAAGTCTATTTATTAAGAAAAGTTCTTTCACTCTTAGAAGGGCACCAAATGTATGTAAATATGTGTTTTTATCAGGGCAATATTTGCATGATGGAACACAATGTTTCTTAAGAACAAACTAGAATAATAGTGAGGGACTTACAAGGCCTTTGTTCTTGACATTGTCACAAAATAGCTATTAATATAAAATAGATATAGAACAAAACAGGTGTATATCTGTAAATGCACAGAAAATATTATGGAAAAACAATATTTCAAGCCACAATCCAATGTGGAAAAGAATTGCTGATAGAAAAGGACTATTTCACTCTATATCTTTTTCATATTTAAATTATTTATTTTGACTTATAGTCATGAGGTGTCTTTCACAATTTAAAATACCTTATGGAATTTGAGAAATTTTTTTTAACAACAACAACAACAAGGGCCAGGTCTAGAATTTTGTTGAAATAGGAGTTTTAATGGTTGTACCATGAAATGCACCTATACTTGCTAAAAAAAAAAAAAATGCATCTTAGTGAATTTGTTTTGTGATTCCATTACCCACTCCCATTTACCTATAGTGTTTTTTTTTTCCTTCTTAATCAAAGGTCTCATCCGTTTGCAAGAGCTCATCAAAGCTCCATCAAGATACAATCTTCGACTTAAAATCCGTCAACTGCCTGCTGATACAAAGGATGCAAAACCTTTACTGAAAGAAATGAAAAGAGGGAGGGAGTTCCATGTGATCTTCGACTGCAGCCATGAAATGGCAGCAGGCATTTTAAAACAGGTGAACTTTAAGTTACCAACATTCATTCTTGGTTTCTTTGTAAATTTGCTTTTAATACATGATCTTTTTCTAAAAAAAATCATAATACAATGTTATTGTAATGCAGTCATTTAAAAAAATTACCTTGATATAATTTTATAACAGAAAGTCTGACAATTGCTTTTGATTAATTGTCATAAAAGAAAGGTAATGTAAACATTGATGCTCATCAAAGCCAATGGAAGTTTTGAGGTTATTGTCAAATGTCTGAAATACTGCTGATCATTATTTAATGAAATAATATTTCTATTTTATACTGAAATTAGGAAAGAAATTAATAGTCAATGATTTAATAGCTCATCCATTTCAATCAGCCAGAATGTAGAGATTAACTATATTTACTCTTTATCTGGTATCTAATGTGAGATGCCTTGTATATTATTTCATCATTGCCACAATTGGAAGAAGTAGGGGCTACCCCACTTTACAAACCAAGAAACTTAGTCTCATCTCAGACTGAGTAATTTGACCATTGTCCAGTAGCAAGGAAATACCAGAGGGCTAGATATCCTGCCTGGTGATATTAATAAATATTCGTTCTAGATTAAAGCATTGCCTACCTAAAAGGATACTCATAAATCAATTAAATGAAACAATTTGTAGCACTAGAACCATGTTACAGTCTTCAGATCTAACAGCAAACTATAAAACAGGAATTATTATTAGTCTATCTAGGAGAGTTTGGATTTGAACTTAAATCTTTGGATTTTGCTTTTTTAAGCTTTTGTTTTTTAAAATTGGGCTGACATCACAGAGGCTTGGGATTTGTCGACTGTTTTTAAACCTCTCATGTGTAGTATAAAATGACTGTGTTGGAGAAGTATACAAATTTAGATGTCAAATTATATCCCATTAAGTATAACTACCAACAGCAAATGCCTGCTATAACATGGTTAGTTTATTAAGCAGATGTTTGTCCAGTATTCCAATATGAATGTTTATTTCACCATAGTAAAATATTTAATTGGATTTGGAAAATTGCTCTAGCTTTATATTTGAGTAATAAAGCATATGAGGAATTTTGAGGGTTTTTGCTCTCTAGTTTATCTAGTAATGAATAAAATAATGCCATAGAGTAACCCTTGAAATGTAGAGTGAGGACTTTTTTCTTATAATTTTCAAACAATTGTTGATCACATTTAGAATACAGACTTGGAAAGGAAACCTTTGTTTTACTCCCAGAGCACTCTACTATTTCAGGGATAGAGCTTTGCCTGGTGTTCTCTGGGCTTCTACCAAGTATGTAATGGATCAGTTGTCTTTTCTCTAAAGAACTAACTCTAAAACTGATTTATTTTTGCTGTCTGGAAGTTGAGCATTACCATTATCTTTGATAATAGAATTTTCATTCTTCCTTCTGCTGGGTATATTCATTATTTTATATTGTTTCTTTATATGTAATCTACTCTGTTTGCAAAATGAAGACAGAGGAAAATAATCTTTAAATATATTCAACAGAAAAATATGTAATTTTAACAAGTAGAAGAAAAACCAAAACAAAGGTAAACTGGAAATATGCAAGTTAAAATGTAATGAATTCCATTGTTATACAGAATGAATGCTCTGATATCTTGCAATATTGGGAGGCCATATACATGGGGATATTTTCTTTTTAACTTACCTGGTCACAGAGAGGGTCTGTCTGTTGTTTGAATGCAGAAGTCAGTTCAAGAAGAAAGCAAATAGATTCCCTTAGTAAATGCAGCAGTAAATTTAATAAGGATATATTTTGTGAGTTACAAAAATTTCTGAGATTCCTTAAAATTGACTAATGTCAGAATACCAATAACAAAGTATGTGAGTGGAGAGCAGAAATAGATGTGCTTTCTTCTACTCTGTCTTCATCCATGAGTGAATCTTAGGAGAATCCAGAAAAAGGGATGTCTCTTAGTTTATTCACTTAATTTCTTTAATTTACTTATTTAAACAAACCAAGCTTTTACTAAACACTTAAAAACAATGAATTTGAAGGGTTTTTTTCTTTTTGCCGAAAATTTTAAAAGTGAATGGACTTTGGGGCGGACTTGATTCCACTGAGGCAAATGGAGTGCACTGATTTGTGGACATGCCTCAGTGGCAGAGGATTCCACTTCTACCCAGATTGTCACAGAGAATGCCATAGGGCAGAGCCGAGATGCTCTGAAGTAAAATTTCACAAGGTCATCTATCACACAGGAAAAATAGAAACCAAGAACTTCAAGGTCTAGATTAGAGAATGTGAAATAAAAAGGTTTGCCCTGGAAAAATGTACAAGCTGATATAAATAAACTCCTGCAATGCAAGAAGTAAAATAAAACTAAAATTGAAGATTTACATACAGAAGGTTGCTTCTCCCTACTGCTAACCTTAAGTAATATAATTTCAGGATTTAAGCTGAAGGATAACTATTTTACAAATTAAATGCCTAGATAACTAAATATGTTAATTTGTCATATAGGATTATTAACACTATAATATTGGAGATGTCTGATAAAGTTTTGATTTTAAACAAATTATTCACTGGTATTTCTAGGTAAGATGATATTTGCCATAACTTATTTTCTATTGAGGTCAATTGTACTCTCTTTAGTGTGGTTCGAGATATGTATACATTTCATTAAAAAAAACTAGGAAGACATAATGCAATATAATTAAAACAAGTTTCAGAGCATTTTTTTTCATCTAATCTTTCAAGATAGTGTTCTTGTGTTAATTTTTGTAAGGTTACAGTATGGTGCTTAATCATCTCACTTTTCTAGATCACATATCATAGTCTATAGCCAATTCTTGTGTTCAAAATCAGAGATTGAATGTCAAAGAAAGCCACAAATACATCCAAGTTCATTATAGATTTCATCTCAAAGTGATGAAGAAGAAACATGTGGCCAGTGCAGAGCACCAATGTCAGAAGCAAATTAAGCTCTCTGTCACCATCTCTTCAACTCTCTCCCACCCCTGCCACCAAAACCACAATTTCATGCACTGGCTGTTTCAAAGAAATGGAATAATTTTTAGAATGCATAGATTCTAGAATGGATTGATATCTTTGAGAATATAAAATATTCCACTTAGAAAAGGGAAGATTATGAATGTCAAGGGAGAAGATCAAAATGGAGTGATGCTTGTTTATTTGCAAAGACTCCTCCACTTGACATGGAGTGGTTAATCAGACATCAGATACCTAGTCTACTGAGCCTTTAATCTGGGCTGAAGATTCAAGCCATATTTGAACTGAGCCAAACTGCAGTTCTCTAATAAAACACTGTTGACTTCTGTTACCTTTTTATATAACAGATCTCTTTTTCTAAACTACCCAGACATAGGGACTGCACCCAATCCTTTTCTTCAAAACCACTGAACTTTTGCTAGCACCAATTATAATTCCTAACAACTGATGTAATTTCCAGCTTCCCCCCACAGTATAAAGCTATAAATATAGCTGTCAATTTTTTAAAATCTCTGAGCACTTACCCGTTCTTTCTTTGACTTCAATGAACTTTATTCTCACATTCAGTGTTCCCAGTTTGCCTTTTTGGTAGACAGTTTTACTCCAGACCAAGAGTTAGAGACCTGGAGTCCATGTTTACTCACTATCTCACTTTGATGTCTTGTTTCTTTTCACCTGTAAAAATGAATGTAATGGAATCTACTTCATAAGACTTTTAAGAGACTTAGTAATGCAATATATTTAGAATAGTACCTAACACATTTCAGGTATCAAATAAGCAACACTTATATCTATACATTTGAATCACTATTTCTTTAGGTTACCTTTTCTGTTGATCAAGTCAGAAACAAGGATAACACTGAGCTGTCATTGAGTAGTTATAGAGATGAGATTTCTCTACCTGTCAGTAGAAATGAAGGCATGCTACAAAAATATATAATGTAATATTTTATTTCATAAGGAAATGTTTTTATTTTGCTTAAAATGGTAACTTCATCCAGGACATTATAAGTTTGCATAATTATTATCTATTTTTTCCCTAAATTCCCTTCCTATGTTCAATTGTTTTATGTTGCATTTCATTAAGCAATATTTCTTGCTTCTTTAATATATATTGAATGTTGCAAAGTTTTTCACAAATGTCTCACCTTTCTTAATCAAATGGCTTATATGGTAAAATTACAAATTTAATTCTACTTAATTGATTCATGCCAACATATGAGCATTATGCTTTTCTGTATACAGAATGCACAGAGTGTAGCTGAGGCAGCTACATAATAAATGAGTTTGTGTAGTTAGTAGTGTGTGGAAGACTATTACATGCACCTGAAAACACTTTATTTCCAACTAAGAGCTTTACATTAAGCTAAAAAATGCATTGCTTTAAAATTATCATTGCCAATTTTTGGTAATTAATAAGTTATTTCAAAAGTATACTCTAACTTCAGAAAGGACGAGGACCTTGACACTTTTTATCAATGGATATTTGAATAATATTGATAGTTTCAAATTTGTAAGGACTGTGAAAAAGTGAAATAAAATAGTAATTTTCAATGGGTCTATTAATTAGAGAAATATTTTTAATCATCTGTACATTTTGAATACTGATGATTTACATGTCCTTCCTTAATATCAAGGGATCATGGATAAAGCACTGGAAACGCTCATTGGAATTGCACTTTGAATCACCTTTTTCCTTCTGTTCACCAAAATAAAGTGGTGCTCCTCACTAGGGTATTTGCAGGGACACATTACAAATACAAGTAATTAAGATGTGTAATTTCAGATTTTGTGTCAAATTTAATGCCTCTTTAAAATGTAAAGCTGTAAGCGTTATTATTGTAAACAGTCAATGAATGGCTTTTATATCAAGAGAATTAGTTAAAAAATCCCTTCAGTAGCCACCAATCGTTTTTAACTACTGGGAGTAGATTTGATTTAACCCAAATTAGATGTAACATGAAAAATACAGGTTGATTCTTTGTCACTTCCTATTAGTTTGTTCCAAACTACCTTATTGACATAATGTATTACATACTATATACACTTTCAGTATTAACATTTTACTTATTTTTATTTCTTAGGCATTAGCCATGGGAATGATGACAGAATATTATCATTATATCTTCACCACTCTGGTAAGTAATTAATTAAAACATAAAGGTAATTTTCTAACTTTTGTTCTTTATGACTCTTTATAGGATGGGAAATGTGTTTTTAAATGAGAAAAAGTGATAAAATGAATGACAAGTTTAGAGTCATACATTATTATGATGATAATGACTAATGGTGGTATTAAGATTTGAATTCAGGGCCTGGTGTTGGCTTGGCAAGTTCTCTACCACTTGAGTCATGCTCCCAGCCATTTTTGTTTTAGTGTGTTTTGACAGGGTCTTCTGTTTTTGCCTGAGCTAGCTTTGGACCACAATCCTCCTACCTGTCTTTCCTGAGTATCTGGGATTCCAGGAGTGAAGCACTATACTCAGGTTATATTTAATTTTGATAATACCAAGCAGGAATTATGAGAGAAAACTAGTAACTCAGTTTGATTTCTTTACAGTCAATATGCTTTAATTTACAATTAGCAAATTGCATGTTACCTTCATATTTTGTCCTTATATACTTACTACATATTTTTTTGTTACTATAAATAAATTGAATTTGCCCTTTAGTCAAACCTGTTTACTGTTAGCTTTCTTTCTTTCTTTTTTTAGATAGGGTATGTAGCTTAGGCTGGCTTCAAATTCACAATTGTCTTTCCTCTATCTTCAAAGTGCTGGGATTGCTGCATTCACCACCATGCCTGGTGTGATCTTTATTTCCTTATTCATAAATTACCTTGATTTTTCTTCCTCTGTGGAAAGGCTTTCTTTCTTATTCATAATTCTTTCCTACCTATTCCCAAACTATGTACTCTCATGGAGATTTGGATCTTCATCCTAATTTTTCTTTTCCTGTTAATTACTTTCTTTAGATATAGTGTATGTTTAGAGTCCCAGTTATGAGCTTTGCTCAAATGAGGTACAAATGTCCATGTGTATTATTCCTAGTTATTGTGTACTTTAGAACAATTCTAAATGTTGCAGGTTTAAGATAGTTCCAAAATCTTAAACCTTAATTTATTATTCTCTGAATTGACTACATTTTTAATTTTCTTAAAAAAAAACTCTCATTATCCCTGACTCCCATATCCCGCACAAACTCTACTGATGGTTTCTTCCCAGGATCTCTAACAGTCATCTTTTCTGTCTCCTCAATGATCGGTCTAATAATTGTTCTCCCTATGAACTCAAAGGTCTTCTAACTAGTTTCTTGCTTTTGGGATTCTTGAAGCTACCAGATCAAATTACTAAAATGTAGTTTATTTTGATAGCTTTCTGTGATGACAAAACTCTCCTCCAACAGAGATTACTGTTGTAGAAGGCTGTGTTTTACTCATAAACACCAAGACTCACTCTGCTGAATCTCTTCATTATCTCCTCTTGCTAGGTGGCTTTTTGCACCTTGCAAGACACTTAGTAGTAGGCAGGTGAAGAGGGCATGAGGGCCTTCCCTCCTCAGGAATAATAACTTTAAGATTTGGAGAAAATTGAAAGTATTCCTTAGTTTGAAAAAAAGATGAAGCAAGTAGTTTAGGATGCATGTAACTTGTCAGCCTATAATAGAAGGCCTTTAATGTTTCAATTCTAACTTAATTTTCCCATTTTATTCTGCCCTGTTTCTCCTTCATGAATTCTCTTATACAATAAACTGATCTAGGTCACTGTTCTGCATAGGTATTACGTTCTCTCAGTTTTGTCCCTCTGGTCACATTTTGAATGCCCTCTTTCTTATCAGCAGTCTGGTTATTCTTAAGGGCAGATATAGAGGAGAAAAATATTCCTTTTTCTCACTATCATGAACTTCATGGCTGATTCTGCTATCACAGAAGACATACACCTACTGTCACAGAAGAAAAAAACACAGATTTGGAGGGAGCGCTGTTTTTCTCTCCCTCTTGTTGGAGCAAGCTTTTGCTCTCACTCCTGGTTATTACTGAACCTAACTGGGCTTAACTGGGGGCGACTGGAGATTCAGAAAAGACACAGGATAGACAGACAGAAAGTGGGATCAAGTGTGTTGGGTGCTCAGGCGGAGACACACAACCCTTATTGCTTCTTTTCTCTAACATTATTTTTTAAGGCCTTACTCCTTTGCAGTTCTTTAAAACTTTGCATCTAAAGTCTTCGTGAAATCCTTTCTTAAAACCTCTTTCCTTAGACTCACTCTGTCCCACGTTTTCTCTTAGCTATTCCTTAGCTTAATTGCTCTTAAAGTCTTTTGCCCCCAGACTTGCACTGTCCCATGTCTCTTTAGCTTTCTTAAAGCCTAGGTGCTCAGATTTGCAAACAGCCTACAACCTGCATATGTATAACTCTCAAAGTCTCGGCCCTTAGACTTGCACTGTGAAGTTCTTTCTTTAGCTTTTGTTTAGCTTAGTTTTTCTAAGGACTATGTATAAAGTTCTTTCTTAGCTTTTCTAAGGCCTATGCTAAAGTTCTTTCTTTTGCTTAGTTTTTCTAAGGCCTATGTTAAAGTTCACTGTGCAGACTTTCTATCAACCCGTCTTTAGCTATTCTTTTCCCTTCAGCAACTTCCCTTTAGCAATTCTTTTCCCTTTAGTAATTCCTTTCCCTTCCAAAAGCTTCCCACACCAAAAAACCCCAAAGCTAAAAGCAAAAGCCCAAAGTAAAGGCAAAAGCCTCAAGCCCTCCTTCAGGGGCCTCTTACACCCAGTGGTAAGCAGTGTGAAGCAGTGGCTTTAGGGGAGGGGCGTGACATTGTAACAGGAGAAACCTGCATTCCTGCTTCTCTGAATGTTAACAATTTAGGAGAAACAGCTGTTCTGCTTCCAGGACTGTGTCAATCTCAGAAAAGCAGGTGAACTGCATCTCGCCTTGTTCGTGACCAGTTCTCATAGGCCTCTCATAATCTGCTCTCCACACAGATTTATTTCACACAAATTGTAGGAGCTCTCAGAAATAAGACCCCAAACATATAGTACTTACACTGTGGTTTAGTGAACAGTGGGCAATTGCACAGAAACAATGATTGGATAAAAGGGATATTATAAACCGGGGGAATTTAACAAGGTCTGTTTGTTCAGATTCTTTTTGGTTTGCAAGTACTGGTCAGATCCCTCTAGAATGAGGGTTTTATGAATGACTTTTAAGGGAGGTAGGTCAGGGAATTCTTTCATGAGCCACTTTAGGGGAGAAAGGTAGAAGAGGACCAGAGGATGACCTTTCTGCTTCTGCAGTTTTCTCAATTTCCTTCAGTTTAAAACACTCAGATTGCAAAAACACCATGTCTGAGCCCCATCACAACTATTTGCTCTATGAAGTTTTTCCTAATGTAAAAATTCAAAGTTCTTTGTTTTGCTTCTAACTGCTATTTCACTTGTCATTTTAGCTCTTTCACCCCATAGCATGTATTGCCATGTATTATTTATTTATGCCTAGAATATATCTTATCTCCTTGGCTAGATCATAAGCATTAAATAATAACAACACTAAAGATTCCTCCACAGTTCAGAGTACAACTCAGGCCAATGCCAGTTGCTTTCCATGGAGTTTTATCCCGCTGTCGGGTCTGTTTAGCTGTGAGAGTCTGAGGCAAGCTGTGCAAGGAATAATGGCATTCGTCTTGCCTTGGTTCTCAATACAGTCTGTAAGATCTGAGGGTGAGCTAATACCAGCTGAAAGAGGGTGAAGTCCTACAAACTCCATGTCCTTGTTATGACATCCAACTCCCTTGATAGCTTTGGCTTCATATCTCCAAGGAAAATGAAAAGCAGAACAAGAGCATTTTCAGTAAACAGATGAGAGATGGCAACAGAAGTAAAGTGCTCATTATGGTGAAGCTGCCAATAGGATAACACAAAGGACGTGCCAGGTTTCTACAACCAACAAGGCTAATGTTCTTTACATTCCCCCTTCACCTCTCATATTGTTATTAGTTAGACGCTATATTTCACACTGTTTCTTAAAAGTAAAATATATATATATATATAGTTAAGCAAGACATTAAAAAAACACTTCTGTTTGTTTAAAATATTATTGTATAAAATATAAGTTTAAACTCTTCTTAACATGGAGAATAAAGGCTATGCAAATATTAAATATAAGTTATCAAAGAGCCTGTTATTCTATTGCTGGAATTATAATATGATATATGCATACATTTTATGTGCAATGTGTACATATTTTCATTGTTAAAGCATGAAGACAGTCTATTTAAACCTTGTTGACTTGTGATGTTTAGCATTGTTCCAGACACAATGGTGTGAAGTCTTTTAAGGCAAGCAAGAATGTCAGGCTATTTTAATAATCTATGTATGTGAATAAGGTCTATTTTTAATAACCCAAAGAAATTTGTTTTTCAGGACCTCTTTGCTCTTGATGTAGAGCCCTACAGATACAGTGGTGTCAATATGACAGGGTTCAGAATATTAAATACAGAAAATACTCAAGTCTCTTCCATCATTGAAAAGTGGTCAATGGAACGGTTGCAGGCACCTCCGAAGCCCGATTCAGGTTTGCTGGATGGATTTATGACGGTATGAATAACCATTTAAAGATCAATTTGTGTTTCTAAGCAGTCTTGCATAAATTATTAAATTCTCTGGGTTCAAATTTTAGTTTAATTGTCTGACAGTAAGGCATGGTATCAGAGCTTCTATTGCAAATAATTTTTATTATTTTACAATTTTAACATTTATCTAAATCAATTCTATACACTTTTATCCAAGTAATTCCAAAGGTATTGCAACTATCATTAGGCTACACAATGTGGGAAATTTCTTTAAAGTTACTTAATACCATATAGAATAAATTAGAGATAGAAAACAATATTAGTGTGATCATATCCTTGATCATACCTACCAATATGATTTCTCAAAAAACATTGTGATGTTTTTTGATATCTGGTGTTGTATGAATGGCTTAAGTCACACAAACATCTCCCCTAAACTCACTTATTTTTAGACTCAAGACCAACCAATATTCACACTTGATTAAGAGTAGTCAAATCTTAATCACACTTACCTAGTAGCCAAATATGACTAATGACTATCTTTTTAAGTAGGTTTATAAAAAATTGTGGATACTTGGTGGATTCTCATTACCTACATTTTCTACATACTAAATTATTACTACAATTTGGAGCAACTCAACACTTGGGCAATATTTACATTTCATAGGTCATTACTACTAACTTTTAATGAGTGTTAGACTACACAGAAACTTTATAAACAGAAACATTCTCTATCCTTACATTTGGAAAATTTTTTTGTTATGATTATAATTGCATGTTTGTAACACTGTAGCAAGATAAAGGGATAGTTTATTTTTTTCTTTAAAAGAAAATTTAGTAAATTAAGTGCATGCAGGCAGACTGTGAAAAAAAATGGTTACCCTTTGAGGCACCTACTTCTTTCTCTTTTTAAAATTTTATCGTTTTTAAATTTGCTCACATGTGTATACATTGTTTGGGCCACCTCCTTTCCCGCACTTCCCCTTTCACCCCAGTTTCCTGGCAGAACCTGTTCGGCCCTCTTCTCCAATTTTGTTGAAGAGAAAATGTAAGAAATAATAACAAAGACATAGTGTTTTTGCTAGTTTGAGATAAAGATAGCTATACAGAGAGATTCCTAGTGTTGCTTCCATGCACTTGTGTATTCCAATGCACATTGGTTTATCTCTACCAGACCTCTTCACTACTTCCTGGTCCCTTTCCCATAATGGCCTCTGTCAGTTTATGATTATTTTATTCACTCCTCTACAGTGAACACATCAACCACATTCAAGTTTCAGGTTTCCTTCCCTTTCTGTATTCCTCCCGTATGCATTCTCCCTTTAGTGTATAACCCTGTCCAATATAATTACACCATTTGTTTTACCTTTACAATCTGCACATGAGGGAGAACATGCAATTTTTGGCCTTCTGAGCCTGGCTAACTTCATTTAAGGTGATGTTCTCCAGTTCCATCCATTTACTTTCTGATGGAATGTTTCTTTTCTTTAAATCAGAAAAGTAATCTTCTAGAATTTGAAAATATTTGATATCCACATTAATTTTAAAGAGATAATCTGAGGGGAATTATGCTATTTAACTGGTATTAACCTAAGATATACTGAAAGTTGCTATTAAGATAAAAATGCGTATATAATGTAAAAATAAAATATTTTCCTCCAAAGTTTTGCCGCATTTAAGGTGAAATATAACCTAGAAAAACTACAAATACTACATTTCATTACCAACTTGAAGGGCAAATCAAACTTTTGAAACTTAAAATGATTTTATCTTTTTAAATTAAATTGTATATAATTCTTCAAATTGTTACTATAACGTGCATATTTTCCAATATATTTTTTCTGTCATCACAATTCTTTAATTTCAAAATGAATCTTATTTTTTTTATTTAAAAAACATTATTGAATGGTTTTACAGGAAGTTAGTCAGTAGACATTATGACGTCTACATGTTATCCCCTGAAATTAAATACTCTCTAACTAGTAATAACTTATGTATACTATTGAAAAACAGATAAATACAAGGGAAGATGTATTAATTTCTTGTCTTGGGAAGTAGAGTGCTTGGAGAGAATTAACCTCTACATAACAGCAAAGGGGTTTCAGGAATGGTACCTTTTTGGGTTCTCTTTCTAACCATGAGTTCATTTCTCCTCTGTTCTGTCCTTTTGAATTTACAAGTGCTTTTGTAGAAGTGAATAAATGATAGAATAAAAATGGACCACTGAGATAATTAGCTGATTTTTCTAGGCATTGTATATGCACCATGGATTTTTAGAATTCTAAATACAACAATTTTCCCTTTCGTATAGTCCAGAAATGCTTTTCAAGTGACATCTTAAACAGAAATAAAAGGAAAGTTCTTACATAGAATAGGTAATAACAGATTAATGTATGCAGTTTTATTTGAGTTACTGCAACATGTAAAGATTTCACGAGGAAACTTATGTGAGAACATTTTTAAACAAATGGGCTAAAGATAAGTTGACTTGCATGAGCACTTTTTGTATAATATTGCTTATCTCAAAAGCTAATTATCATGTTTATAAATACAATATTAAACACAAAATATTGTGGAAGTAGACATGAGATTTCTTATTGATTTAATGTTTTCTTCCATGATGGATGTAAATTATGCTTTTATCATTATCTTTTTGGAAAATTAGTAACATATTTTTTAAACTTTTCATTATATAACATTACATAAATAATATAAAGAGTACACATAAAGCCATTTCATTATATAAAATTAATTCTTAATTATAAAATACTATGTGCTTTTTATAAAAAATAAAACCAATATGAGATCTGTATTAAAATGTTGGTATATTTATACCTTGCATGAGTGGTTTTTTTCTTTGCTATTTAACATTATATCATAAGCATTTTATAAGTCATTATGTGTTTAGGAAAAGAATATAATAGGTTATTTCTACCTTGAATGCATTCAGAAAATTGAGAGGGTTTTAGTCAGAAAAGAATTATAGCCTGGCAATATGGCATTGGCAACATTCCCTTCAATCAGTTCATGATATCTCAGTATTTATATATTTCTTGTTCTTCCCACCCCCCATGACCCTGTAAAGAAATGAAATTATCAGCAAATTCCCTAGTGCTTGAAGCAAGACCTATTATTATCAGTATCATAGTCATTTACCACCATGTAAGATCATAGTTCTTAGAGTTCCACATCCCCTTTTCATGTTTGAGCTATAAAAGGAAACAATGAATTGGACTCATAAAAGTTTTTTTCTGGTTGAGTTAGCATCTTAATTGCTCCCTAGGATAGCTGTTTATCAGCTAAATGGCAACTGAATAGAAGACCACTTCTGACTTATGGTTTCTTCTTGTAATGTCTTTGGTTGTCATATCAAAGGTGTAAATATTACTTAGCTCAGTACAGTTTTCATCTTGTTGTAAATCCAACCAAAGAAGCAACTCCCACAGTATGTCCAAGTTCTATCTAGTTAGAGGGAAAATATGACTTTCTTCAGTCACACATGGGGATTTTTTTTTCCATGTCCACACATTACCATTCATTGGATGATCTAAATTTTCCTGACTGAAGTCCTTATTACAAAGTCCTTTATCTACTGTTAATTCTCATCTTTCCATGTCCCTGGAGGTGTGGAAGTCCTTTCCAGCAAGCATTATCATGGTCTTTTCCTGTACAATCAGCTGACAATTTTCCTCAGTTCTCTGCATAGATACTGTCTTCCTTCTTTGAGTACTTATTATAGGATGAAAACTCAGAGTCTTATGATTGTTGTATTTATTATTAATTTGTTGAGTTTATAGCAATCTCAACTCAAGAAAGCCAAATCAGGTACAAGTATCTCAAGTTAACTTCAAAACAGTTTAGTTATATAGAAGAAATCCTTCCCAGTAAGCCTAATATTCCTGTACAAAGTAGTACTAATGTAATTGTAATGTACCTAGTGGCTTCATAATATCTTTCCTTGTACTGTTATATAATGATACATATATTCATTTATTTATAGTATAAGTTTACTGCTAAATCAACAGCTGTGTCATTTGGATTGATATAGAGAAATTAGTGTTTCAGTAATTTAAACTCTGCATATCAACTGCTATCTCCAGTTTCTTTCTTCTAAACAATCATCAAACACTGTCAACTCTACCACATATCTTTTAAAAATACATTCTTCTTTTTAATCCCAAAAACTACACTTTAGTTAAGAATCCAATGGTTTTTCCATTGGCTGTTGCAAGTCTTCTTACATAAGTCCCACTCCCAACCATACATCTCCAACATCCACCTTCTCTCTCATTTGATCTGTCCAGAACTTTGCTCCTAGCTCCACATCAATTACTAAGTGAAATTTGGGCTCATTTGCTAAGCTTGAAAGGCCCTTCATGGTCTGGCTCCTGCTTACCTATTTGGTCTCATGTTTTTCTACTTCCTGTTCCGATAGGCCACCATCTAATCCTTGGTCTATCTCACTCATCAACCATTTCAACACAGATGTTCCCATTGTCTGAACCACTTACTCTTATTTGAATGCATGAAGCACTCCTACTCATATTGTAAATTTCAAATTATCTGTTATCTTTTCTGTGGTTTTCTCTAAGTCTTCCCAATACTATAAATCTCATTCTTCATTTATGCACTTTACATATAACTAAGTGTTGAAATTTAAATCTGGTCTTTTGTTTGTCTTCACACTCCATTCCCAATAGATTGTAAATTCTTTTGAGGCAAGAATTAGATGTCATCCTCTTGATGTTCCTGTACCTAGTTAAGGGTCTGGTGCAAAGTAGGTGATCATAATGGAAGAGTGACTTCTTGCTTGAGAAAATGTATGTGTTAATTGATTTCAATCACATTACATCTGTATTCTAATCAGTAAGTTGTCTCATTTCCCAAATATATTCTGGAAGGCTTTTTAATTTACCTACTTGCACTTTATTATCAAGATATCTAATCACTTAGAAAATGCAAATAAGCTACTCTTAACCATTTGTTAAAAAATTCCTTAGACAGTAAAAGTTTAGAAATATGTTC